GCTGCCTGTAGTCCGTTCTTTCTTTCTGAACAACCTTAGCTACATCATCTGTGTCCAGGGTGTGTGTGCCAGACTTGCCAAGTCCCTAGACAAGGTGGGGAGGCAACTCCCATGGGGCTGGAGGCATTGTGATACTGATGCTCCCGGCCCCTTGTCAGCCCTCAGAGCCACTCAGAGTATACTGCGTGGCACTCCAGCGGCGATTTAAAGGGCCCAGGGCTCCAGCTACCACTGCTGCTGAAGCCCTGGCTCAGACAAAGTGCCTTCTTTGTTTCTCCCCACCCTCCCCATCTTTCTGTGTGACTCATCAGGTCTCAACTCTTTGCTGCTTTTACCGCCAAATGCACATGATGTTTCAAATGGACCAACAGCTGCACCCTTTCCCCCATGACATTGGCCTGGAGTCTGTATGACAGGCCCTTGCTATGTCTGTCTGATTCTTATGAGCAGACTCTGTATATTCATGATTCTTCCTCTAGCATTCCCCCAGAGAACAAGATGCTGGTGAATTTCACTCTGCCACAGATTCACATGAAAAGGAAGTCTCCTAAATTGCTAGGTGGGGCCAGGAAGAAAAGAATGTCCTTTCTGAAGGGAGAGCTCATGGTCTGCAGCAAAGACCCCGAATGCGTTCTCCAGCAAAGCAAGGAAAGAGGAGACAGGACTCTCCCAATATTCCTTTGATTTAAAAAGAAGAAAACAAAACCCCTTTTTTGGGAGGCAGGAGAAGGGAGTTGAGGAAAATCTAGGCAACCTTGAGATACTGTTGAAGAATAAACAGAAAAACAAAACAACCCCCTTTTTTCTCCCTTAAGTTATAACAGAGCTTCTAAAATGTCCTGGCTAAGGTAATCACAGCTCCAGGCTAGTAACTTTGTTCACATGGGTACTTTCTTTCCTCTCTAAGGATACCCGTGCAGTTTTGGATTGACTAGGGGCAATTATGTTAATGCAATCTTTTCAGACCATCACCGCATGAAACTAGTGCTATCAAATAACTGGACTTCAAAAAGAATTGTACAGTATGCTCACTCTGTGGACCTCATGTACTCTCCAATACCTCTTAATATATGGCAAAAGAAATTCAACTGTTTCGGGAGCTGTCTCTCCTATGATACATCTGGGCTAAATTGTCTCCCCATGCAGATCACTGTGCACTCATTGCTTTTCAAACGTGTTCTGTAACTTTTTACCAACCCTTTGTTTTCTATAGAGCATTATTCTTGCTTCATAAAAAAATAACTTTTATTGAGTTTCTCTCAGGTTAGCCGCAGCACAAGAAAAGCGACAAGTAGACTTCACAAGAGGTTTTAGTACACTTGTTATGTGGATTGAAAGATACATTTTAACAAGCATGTAATAGTCACTGAACTGGGCCTATTATAGATCCAAATATTGTACACACACAACAGAACATCACCCAGAAAAATTGACTTGAAATGGCACTATTTCTCTAATCAACAAATGTCACTGGAATGACCATATTATATATAATTTATTTTCTTCCTAGCAAAGGCCAAGAAACACAGTTATCTTTACAGCAGCTAAGTGTAACTGGGAATTACAATGTCAGGGGTTTTTTTTCAGCTACTTTACAACATTTGGGTTCCTATTTGCAAATGTAGTTTTCAGGGTCCTTTCCACAGTCCTGTGAAATCCTGTGGTAATTTATTATGTATTTGTCTGATGATAGCACCACCTGGGATGAGGCAGCACTGTACATAGATGTGTAAGAGACAATCCCTGTCTCCTCAAATATTACCATCTAGGCAAGAATGACAACAAATGGGATGGGAAAGCAAAGTTAAAGTGACTTGGCCGAACACAAGCACCAGGCTGCGAATAGAATTCTCCAGGTTTCTTGAGAATGGTGTTCTATCCACAGCACCACGAGACCACACAGAAAATTCTTTGATGCTTACATTTGTTCCTTGCATCAGCTGAGCCAGGATTTCTGATCAGGTGGGTGATTGGTGTCCTGTCCAGAAGCTGCAGTTGGGACTTACTGATATGGACAGCTATAGAACTCCCATATTGTTCCAGCGGTTGCCACTCTATACGTTAATTCCAAAGCATGTTTTTCAAATCTTGGAGAAGAGGGTTACACCGATTGGGCCTCACCCAACAGTTTCATGCCAAAGGGGCTGTGAGTGTGGAGAAGTTAATATTTGACTCATGCTACAGTACAGTTTGATGGAAAAGAAAGTACAGAGATACTGCCCCATTCCCACCAATCTGACGTAAGCACCCCAATCCTGCAATAACCAGTGATCTAGCTCTGTTTCTCGTTGCTGTTAAGCAAGTCTATTATCAAGGTTGTTATAAAATACCCCTGTAAATCACATCCCCAAACAGGGGATGTGACCTCGCCAAAGAGCTTACAGCCCAAATAAGAAAAGACAGACCCAGGACAGCCTTTCAGGAGTGGTGGGTATACGGGGAGAAAAAGAGAGAGAGGATTTCCTGTAGAGATGAGTTTTACGGAGAGATTTGAAGGAGCTCAGAGGATGCCGAAGGGCTCAAAGCAAGAGGCTCCAGGCCCACGGAGTCAATCATAGCTGTGAGTGGGCAAATTCTATCAGTTTTTCAGCACGACTCATTCAAGACTACTAGAGAAATAGTGAATTGATGTGTGAATGTAACTTGTTCTGTTCTTGTGAACTTTAGTGGGTTAAATTTGTCCACTAACCATTCTTAGAGCAAGACAGGCTTTTTACTTACAATAGCCAGCTGGAGTGCTCTGGTTGCTGCTTTTCATTCTGACTGATATTCATAGAATCATAGAATACTAGGACTGGAAGGGACCTCGAGAGAGCATCGACTCCAGTCCCCTGCCCTCATGGCAGGACCAAATACTGTCTAAGCCATCCCTGATAGACATTTATCTAACCTACTCTTAAATATCTCCACAGATGGAGATTTCACAACCTCCCCGGGCAATTTATTCCAGTGGTTAATTGCCCTGGGGCTGTGTCTACACTGGCAAGTTATTCCGGAAAAGCAGCCGCTTTTCCGGAAAAACTTGCCAGCTGTCTACACTGGCCGCTTGAATTTCCAGAAAAGCACTGATGATCTAATGTAAAATCATCAGTGCTTTTCCGGAAAAACTATGCTGCTCCTGTTCGGGCAAAAGTCTTTTTCCGGAAAACTGTTCCAGAAAAGGGCCAGTATAGACAGCACAGTAGTGTTTTCCGCAAAAAAGCCCTAATCGTGAAAATGACCATCGGGGCTTTTTTGCGGAAAACCGTGTCTAGATTGGCCACGGACACTTTTCCACAAAAAGTGCTTTTCCAGAAAAGCGTCCTGCCAATCTAGACACGCTTTTCCGAAAATGCTTTTAACGGAAAACTTTTCCATTAAAAGCATTTCTGGAAAATCATGCCAGTGTAGACGTAGCCTGACAGTGAGGAACTTTTTCCTAATGTCCAACCGAAACCTCCCTTGCTGCAGTTTAAGCCCATTGCTTCTCGTTCTATCCCCAGTGGCCAAGATGAACAAGTTTTCTCCCTCCCCCTTCTGACACCCTTTTAGATACCTGAAAACTGCTATCATGTCCCCCCTCAATCTTCTCTTTTCTAAACTAAACAAACCCAATTCCTTCAGTCTTCCCTCATAGCTCATGTTCTCTAGACCTTTAATCATTCTCGTTGCTCTTCTCTGGACCCTCTCCAATTTCTCCACATCTTTCTTAAAATGCAGTGCCCAGAACTGGACACAATACTCCAATTGAGGCCTAACCAGTACAGAGTAGAGCGGAAGAATGACTTCTCGTGTCTTGCTCACAACACACCTGTTAATGCATCCCAGAATCATGTTTGCTTTCTTTGCAACAGCATCACACTGTTGACTCATATTCAATTTGGGGTCCACTATAACCCCTAGATCCCTTTCTGTCATACTCCTTCCCAGACAGTCACTTCCCATTCTGTATGTATGAAACTGATTGTTCCTTCCTAAGTGGAGCACTTTGCATTTGTCTTTATTAAACTTCATCCTATATTGTTTCATGCCTTCCTTGTGCTTCCCACCTCTGTTTTGTCTTGTCTTGTTCGTGGCTTCAATTGTAAGCTCTTTGGGACAGAGACAGACTTTTTGTTCTGTTTGTAGACCACAGGTGGGCATGAGGTGGTTAGTGGGCTGAAGCTGGCCCACCAAGCTGTCTCGCCGGCACCCTTACTATAGAGCAGGGCCAGCTACTTTAAAGAGCAGGCTGCTAATTGCTCTGCAAGCTGGCCAAGAAGGAGAAAGTTTTGCGCACTGTCCCTGCCCCCTAGCAAAATCTTCACGCTCCCATTGGCCAGTTTCCAGCCAATAGGAACTGAGAAATTTTGCTGAAAGCATGGGCAGTGAATGAAGGCTCCTCACTCCTTCACTCCCCCATCTCTCTCTGTGCTGGAGCAGAGCCAGGTGGAGCAGCCCACATGCAGCAAGTCTGCAGAGCTGCTGGCTGGGAGCTGTCTAGGTAAGTGCCTCTCAGCCAGAACCTGCCTCTGGCACCTTACCTCCTCTCTCCCCCCAACTTCCTGCACCAGGCTACCACCCAAGCCCTCTGTATCCTCTCTCCCCACCTCCTCCAGGTCACAACTCCCCTTCCAGACTCTACACCCCCACCTGTACCCCTCCCCCATGCCAGAATCCTTTCCTGCACTCATACCCCTCCCTGAACCTGTACCCCATTTCCCTGCCCATATCACCACCCAAACCCTCTGTACCCCCTTTTCCTCCTTCTCCCAGGTAACAACTCCCTCCCAGACCCTGCATCCCCTCTTACGCACCCCCCAGGCCAGAATCCTCTCCTGTACCCATAACCCCCCCCCAGACCCTACACCCCAAGCCCCTGCCCCAGATTATAACCCCCTCCTTCACTCAAATTCCCCCTCAGACTCTACACTCCCCTCCTGCACCCCAATCCTCTAGCCCAAGCTCCCTCCTACACCCCACCCGTTGTCCCAGACCCTGCACCCCCTCCACAGAAGTGTGGCCCTTTACCACTTACCAAAATCTTGGAGTGGCCCCCACATTAAAAATTATTGCCCACCCCTGGGGTAGACAAGGCCCAGTACTGTAAAGTCCTGGTCTGTAATAGAGTCCCCTAGGCACAATCATAATACAAATAATAATAAATGAGAGTTCTTTGAAATGTTTGCTCCTTCCCAGGCATGTGTAATACATTGGCTATGAGAAGAGAACCTCAGATTCATGGCAAACTTCTGAAAATGGTTAAATTGTGTATTACTTATGGGAGGCAAGATTAGATTGACATTTTGGATTCTTTTTTGGAATAAGGACCAATCCCATTTTGGCTGTCTAGGTGGCAGTAGAGCTCTTCTGTGCATACATTTGTGGGGGAGGGGGGGGAGACAACAGCGTAAGTGTCATGAGCTTAACCCACATCTCTGCATTCTGCCCGTTTTTGTTCCTGCCGAGGGAGCATGAGAAGTTAATGCTGCACCCTGCTACCCCCATGAAATGCTGTCTTCATATTTTTCAAGGGAAATGAACTATGGTCATTTTGCAAAATGTGGCAAAAGCGGCACAGCAGCTCCTCAAAGACGAGGATAGATTAACTCACTTCCAGCAGTGCTGGAGGGAATTGTGGGGTTGGATCTTGAGCTTCTTGGGGCACAGGAGTTTCATGAAAGCTCTTCTGAAACTGTAGTGGCAGAGGGGATAGAGGACAGGGTTAATGGCAGAGTTGATCCACAGGAGCCAGAAGGAAGTCTCATACCAATAATCAGGGATGCAGTGGCCATGGCAAGCTGCACGGATGATCATGAGGAGGGTGTATGGTGCCCAGCAAAGCCCAAAAATGCTCACAATAACTGCCAGTGATTTTGCCACCTTCTTGTCTCTGGAGAGCCTGAAGCGCTGCGTGATGCTCTGGGAGACCATCTTCATCCGTTTCTCTATAGACAGTGCCGATGCCGACGGTTTATAGCTCCTCTTGCTGAAAGACTTTGGTTTCCCACCATAGAGCCCAGAGCTCTTTGAGTTTGCTGTCTGTGAGTCTCTCACACTAATACTGGCATTGGCAGCTGCTTGTTGTACTTCACCCTTAGGAAGGTCGAGAGTTTTAGCTGGCTCTTTCTGGTCCCACTTACAGCATTTCAGGGAAAGCTTTCCTTCTGGGCTCATTTCCATCTCCTCCATGAATGACTGGCTCTGTACTTCGTGGAAGATATCTAGACGGATTTTGGTGCGTTTCTGAATGTTCAGGTAAATGCTCAAGTTGAAAAACAAAACACTGATGAAGGGAGTGAAAAACTCCAGAGTGGAAGCCGTCATGAGAAAATACCAGTTGTAGAAAAATTCAGCATAGCATTCTCCATCAGGTATGATGCTCTGCCCGGTTACATATTCCCAGCTGATAATTGCAGGTCCATAGAGTAGGAAAGCTAAGACCCACACCATGACCATTTTCAGTACTGCTTGCTTGGTATTACCTTGCTGAGCTCGATATGTGACCTAGAGTGGAAAAAACTTTTCTTAGATATGACCAAATACATTCACCAGCTTAGACTGTTTTATAACCTAAATGTCTGGCAAAGTTGCTATATGATATCTTTGCAGTATAACAAATGCATATGCTGGAGACAGTGGACACAGTCACTAGATGAATCGTCCCCTGTCCCCCTCCAGAGAAGAGCTATGACCTGGTCCTTTAAGTACAAACCATACTTGGCTCATGACTGGCTTAGGACAGTCCTGAACTGAGTCAGTACATTTCAGAGAGATAGTCGCTTTTTATGTCAATCAATCATTCTTGATACATATCTCAGCCCAAATTTGATACTTGCTTTTTAACCACATTTTGCAGATGGGTAAAATGAGGCAAAGAGAGATATTGTTACTTGTCCAAAGCAGCAGCCTGAGTCAGTGGCAGAGATGGGAACTGACTCCAGGGAGCCTCACCATCTAGTCCACTGCCCCAGCCACATGCCTGTACTCTCCCGGCATGCACTGTGAAATTGTTAGAAAGAGGCCCACATCAAACTCCTGTGTCCAGCACATGAGCTTTGTTGCAGTTTGTCCTTGGATTGCCTCTGACCTTTATGCATTGTGCTCCTGTGTAGACATTGTGTATTGTATTTGGAACATTTACGAAGTGCTGTCCACCTCCTGTAAGATGCTTAGTACCCTCAACTCCAATTGCAATAACTGCATTTAGGACATTTTGGCATCTTACAAGATTCTACTGCAACCTGTGAGCCTCTTCCTGGGACTGTAACTCCCATTGGAATCAGTTTGTTTAGTCTGGAAATAACCACTGCAAGTTGGTAATAAACTGTTTGCCTCACTTGAATTGACTGGCTGTCACTCAAACACCTTCTTCCCTGCCAGCTTTTGAAGGACAACTTGTTTCATGGGTTCTGAACCCAAAAGGCTTTGAGTGATGGTTTTTTTTGTTTGTTTGTTTTTTAAAGCACACCTAATGTCAAGATTTCTGAGTGAACTGTGTATTTTCCCAGGAATTTTTCTTTTCCATCACCAAGTTAAAAGATTCATCATTTCCCAAGGAATCAAACAGCTTTTATTTAGCACAGATGGCTCTAGACAATAAAGTGAAGAGGAAGGCTTTTCTCATCTCTGACATGTCAGTACTTACCGCTCTTGTCACCGAGAGGAATCTGTCATAGCTAATCAGCACAATGTTGAAGACTGAAGAGGTGCAGAGCAGATAATCAATTACTAGCCAGAGCTTACAGAAGCTTTTTCCAAAGGCCCATCGTCCTGTCAGCACATAGGGCACATACAAGGGAATGCAAAAGGCACCTGCAATGAGAGGTGTTTATATTTGAAAGGGCTTCTGCATGGTGCACAGGTGTTTGAAAAAAGTAACTCGCTTGAATGCTGAGAATAACTGGTAGTGTACAGGATGCTATTTGCAAGTCTGCACCGTGGCTCGAGATGGCCATTTTGTGTATTTAGATTGGATGGGCCAGGTTGGGGTGGGTTTGCTCGGGTCACCATTTGTGCTTTTTTCCATGAGTGTCTCTTAAAAACCTAATCTTGTGACATACCAGCAGCACAGGCTAGTGAGACAGAAAGGAGCCTGCTAGATGAGAATAGGCTGAGAATACACTTATGTCTGCCAAAGAGCCCATGAACACCCAGGCTGTGATTTTCAAAGTGGTCTTAAGGATTTGGAGCCTGGGCACTCAAAAACAAGGGTGCCAAGCTCCTATTGATTTCAGTGGGGGATAGGTACCTGAACTCCTTTGAGGATCTTGAGCTTTGGCTGCATGACTCCCATTTAAATGAATGGGAGATGGCTGCCCAAATGCCCCAGGAAAAGCTCGAAATCTGAGCTTTACAGGAAAGCTGTAAAGCAAGGGAACAACCAGGTTTTTACGCATTACCGTCTCATGGTGACGCATAAACAAGGACTCCCAGCTTGTCCTTTAAAATCAAAGCTTCCCTGGCTTCCGTTTTGGCCTGAACTTTTCTTTGGAGGACCCAGGTTAGTTCTTTTTGGGGATGAGGTGGGGAAGGGCTCCACAGTGCTCCCATCTGAGAGCCTGATCCTATAAGTTTCCACAGGTGAATTTTCTCAAGTGTGGTAGTTGGCACCAGTGCATGTGTGTTTACAGAAGCAGGTTCTGGGTCTGTAACCTGACCAGCTTCTGTTCTCTTCCCCCCCCCCCCCTCCTCCAAGGAAGGGGAGGGAGCACTGAGTACCCTCTCTCTGCATCTGGCACCAGGGGAAAGCAGAATCTGATGTTCTTGGCTTATCGTGGTTAACAACTATCCAGCCCTTCCCAGGATTTTGCCCAGACTTTCCAACAAGGTGGCAGAGGTGAGGGCTTGACACCTCTGTCAAAAATACAACATAGATTTTGAAAACCAATCGATCACTAAGCTCATCTGCATATCGAAGAAGCTAGGAAAAGATGGAATCCAGGGTCTGTGAGGCTTTGCACCTTACTCTAAGTCAAGGGCTGTTCAGAGGCATTACCTTAGTGTCTAGCATTCTGAACTATTTCCAGACACAGTTCAGTAACTCTGCCCTCCTATTTTTGCATATGAGACACTGCTAATGCTCCTGCTTATCAGTGTGGAGAGAGAGAAAGAGAGTAAACTAAGCAATCTCTCTGGGGTTTGATGGATTATAATACTTCCAGGAAGTTGGGATCATTATTAATTCCTAATTAAACATCAGTAAATTTCAGAGAGGTAGCCTGTTAATCTGTAACTGAAAAAAACTTAAAAAACAGCGAATAGTCCTTGCAGCACCTTAGATACTAATAAAAAAATGCAGATGGTATCATGAGCTTTCTTGGGCACTTCTTCATCTGTTGTGGGTTGTGCCCAAGAAAGCACGATACCATCTGCATTTTTTGTTAGTCTCTAAGGTGCTGCAGGACTATTCGTTGTTTTGTAAGGGGGGTTTTAACAGTAAAGAAATCCATGCTATTCCTCCTGCAAAGATGTGTGTCGCAGCTCTTAATCTTTGGCTCGGGGGATGGGTCAGAACTGCACTCAGCCTGTTTGCACACAGCCTTTTGGTTGTAGTTCAGAGAGCCAGGGGCTGCTCACTCAGCTCGGCTCTCTCACATAGCGAGCGACAGGAGACTGTGCAGCCTTCTCCGTTAGCCAGGCGTGCAACTTCTTCTCAGAACATCTGGCCAGCTGCAAGCCCGCGCTGTTACTCACCCTGCCCTTTGCATCCCCGCTTAATAGCCCCTTGCAAGACACACGGACAGAAGCCGAAGCAGTTGCCGGAGGGCTCATTGTGCCGTCCACCCCACGGACTTACTAACAACACACATCACCTTGGGCTCTGTCCTTCTGTTAACAATACCCGCCTCACAGAGTAGCATGTACTTGTGCCTGGCCTGGTTCAGTGTTGCCATGTTAACTGGGCACCACCAAACATGTACATAACTGGACTTCCAACTACCTCTTCTTTCCAGAACAGGCTGTGGAGGCCTCTAAAAGGCACACGCCTTACGCAGCTGTGTGGATCCTAGCTAGAGGATGTGGTGGAGGGAAGATGCTATGATAGAGGATTTCCGTGGGAAGTCCAGTCCCGAGGGAGGGGAAACAGCCCGAGTTTTACATTGTTCACGTTGTGAATTTGTTCTGATGTTCAAACCCGCTTAGCGCTGGGTACAACCCTTGAAGAGAGGAGAGCAGGAGCTCTTTGCAAAGATTGCAGGGAGGACCATTTTAACCTGAGCCATAGGGCAGTGAAGCGAGCAAGACCTCTCCATCACATCTGGAAGTGGGGAGGGGGGAGTTTCCCTGATATACCAGCTTTCCAGTTTGGTTCAACAGCTCTCAGCACCCGCACTATAAACATTGTTCCAGCGCTTCTCTCTCTCCCTGGGGTGGCTGAGAACAGCCCCAAAGAGACCAGGCAGCTGCCTCTGCCGCTCGGCTCCTATGCTGCCTGCTGCACACAAGCAAAACTTTAAGCCCAGCGGGGAAATATGTGTCCGAGCTGCAGTGGCTGAGGCTGGCCCCGCGGTCGCCGAGCTGGGGAGAGGGAAGCGGACGTGGTACTTTACCTACTAGGAAATCGGAGATGGCCAGGTTGAGAAGGAAGTAATTGTTCTGGGTCCTCAGACTGGAGTCCACCACGAAAGCCAGCATGACCAGCGCGTTCCCGACCACGGTGGCCACGATCAGCAGCGCCATGAGCACAGCCAGAGAGATGGTCCACATGGCCCCGAACCTGCCCGCCAGCTGATGCCCGGCTGCTTTGCCTTCCGCCGCCGAAGCGTTGAGTGGCCAGTCTTGCAGGGCGCTGTCCATTTCAGCACCACGCCGCTCAGCGACTCAGGCGGAAGAAACTGTCCACACCATCCCGGCGGCGGGGGCTGATCCAGCTGGATCCTCGCTCACCCCCAGCCCAATCGACAGCAGCGGCTGCATCGCTCCCCAGAGGGAGGGCCAGGCCCCGCCGTGCTGCTGCCCGAAGCGGGTAGGGAAGGGGAAGGAGCAAAGGGATCGCACTCCCCAGGGGTGAGTAGCTGCCCGGGACCTGCTCCCTCTCTGCACCAGAGTGGGGTCGACGCCCAGCGCTCCCCTGAGCGCCTTTGTGCCTGCTGATCGCTGCCCCGCCTAACGCTGCATGTGCTCCCGCGGGCTGCCGGCTCAGGGCGCGCTCTTGGGGTTCGAAGACCAGTCTGGAACTACACCGCAGCCACTCCGGGTTAGCTCAGCGGTGCTCGCCGTGTGAACGCGCCGCTGCTTCTGCAGAGCCAAGGACCCAGCGGGAGGCCGCGCGATTCATTGG